AGGACAAAATTGTCCACAAGGCGACACTATACTGTAGATAAATTTAGAGAGACCTAGAATGTAATCTTTTTCAAAACAGCTTGATGTTACGGCGAAAAAAAAATTATAAGATATCAATTGGTTGAAACGGTGCAGCTACTGAAGCGCGACATTGATGACGAGACTCTAAAAAAACGAATAAGATAGTGACACGGCCAAAACATTATTAACCATCAGCCACATAATAGTATCATGAATGGGACTTACCGGTGGACGGTCCTGGAAATTATCAAAGTGCTTTACCAAAATATCTTTGATCATCTTCGTATCAGATATAGCAAGRAGAGGYGTATCGAGRAACGAGGTGCAAAACATACCACCATATTTTTTGTAATTGGTATCAAGATAAAGGTGAAATTGGCCTTTATCGCGTAGAAACCCAGGCAAATTCCCTAAGAAAGGCCAAGGCTTAGGTCCAGGTATACCGGGGAAAGCCGATTCGATGATTCGACGCGTCCTTGTGCCATACCAATAAAGAAGTATGGCTACTGCTATAACTACTGCAATAGTCGTCGATCCGCAGTGGTTTGTAAGACAGTTCGCCCAAGAAGCTACTGTCTCCATCGCTTACAGACTCATTTAGGTAGTGTAGGGTTCACTGCTAGCTACTTTNNNGACTCAGCTAAAGCATATTACTTGCTTTGAAGTAACTTCCTTACAGTTCCTCAAAGTCTCTTTCCATTTGCGTCTAGTTCTTTGTGTACCGTTTTCTTTTTTGTCGTTTTAAGATATTATGGCATTAGAATACTYATGTAGATGAGAAAATGTTAAATTTCTCCATCAGTGCACCACTCAGCCGACTAATCTTAGCAACTGAACAGAGATAGACATAAAYCAATCATATCATACAGCAAAAGTCTTTTTATGAACATACAGGCAAGCTCACGAAGRGTGAATAGCGCTATCCATTGAATAAATCCTTATGAAGTTGATAAAAACCATACCAAAGTCTAAGGAGTATATAACTTTATCCAGATAATGTTACAACCTACATACACTTTTCTAAAGAGTAGCTATTTTTTTTCAAATTACAAGGCATGCATTGCGCCATGTGGTACATTAAAAATATGTAAGAGCATGCGCAATGAAAAAATTATTCTAACTTCAGCTAGTAGAYTGTTGGCACTTTAGGAGCTGCTGGGATYCCTGTGTTTTATCCCCACTAYCACACCCTTAGTAGGGCCAAGTATAGGCTTCGACTGCAAAGTTGGCTCTTTTGTCTCCGAGGTAGGCACAAAAGTGAATTTCTTCAGGAGTCTGGTAACGACTAGCTTGATCTCCATCAGMGCAAATCTCATTCCRATGCAGTTACGAGGYCCGGTTCCAAATGGWAGATAGTGATAAGGGTCACGTGATTGCTTGGCTTCAGGTGTAAATCTCTCTGGAATGAACTTGTCAGGGTCGGGGTAAATGTTGGGATCCCTGTGTATGCTGTAGACTGGAACTGTGATGATACATCCTTTTGGAATCGTCACACCTTCGATGGTACATTCTTTGGTGCAGTCACGGAAAAGCATGTTACCTGAAAAAAAATATAATTTCAGTTTATACACGTCCACCAACCTTATAGAGAGTTATACATATTCTCAAAACTGTATCTTACCGGGCCAGGGTTAGGTTGAGAAAACAATGGACAAACAATAAATAATTCTTCCAACAATAGAACAAAACCTAACCTAAAGATAGAGCTGCTGTAGTTAAGCAGCAATCAAAAAGCAGGTTTCGATTGTTACTGCATTACTGATCTTACCTGGAGGGCAGAGTCTTAAAGTTTCAGAGATCACCATGTCGAGGTACTGTATCTCCTGAACTGTTTCGTATGACGGYATTTCATCTTCTTCCGTCCATACGTTATCAATTTCTTGCTGTAAACGTTCCTGGACATCAGGGTTTGCGACCAGGTAATAACACAGCATCCCAAGAGTCGTGCTCGATGTCTCGTAACCAGCTAACAAGAACAGGATTGATTGCATTAAAAGCTCGCCTTCGCTGAGCTTTTTGTTTTCTGGTACGTCTGGACCTTGGGAACTAAGCATGAGATCTAGAAAGTCCTAAAAAAGAAAGAGGTTTAATATGGGATTATCATAGAGGATCCTCCATTAGTCTCTGAGAAGATTGTTCAAAATGGCTTGGACAAACTTCCTAGGGGGTCAGGTTCTTGCGAATAAGTACTGTGCTCCCAGGGAGCCACTTGGAGGAGCCGCCCTCCATCGACCTATAAAGTGGATTTCGTATGACTGTGCAAAAGCACGGAGCACAACACGGCACGGCACGGTCACGGAACCTCGCCTTCTAGGATTTCAAATGAAAGTAAAGATTTTCCAATGTATCACGGCTACGGCACGGTACGGACACAGCACGAACGTACCGTGTTTTTTTGCACAGTCATACGAAATCCGCTCTAAGGAGTCCTTGGGATGGGAAGCTTCAATGAGGTTGCGGTAATGCTTCCATTAAAAGACAGAACGAATTGAAGGAGAGATCGATTATGCAGTGAGTGCGCAAAAAGATAGCAAGTTCCGCTTAAGATTTAAGTAATGGTCCGAGTAAGAAGCAGGCAACCAAACGGCAAWGGAATGCRTGAAGGTGCTAATTTTGTATTGYATAATCCATCCATCTCATTGGTTAAAACATTAAAATTTGACATAATTTCAAAAGTAAGCGCAAAGTTTACCTTTCTAGACGAGCCCTCCTTTCGTTTCAATTCRATGATTTTCTCGCCAAAGTCGAACAGGGCAAYAAAATCTCTGAACATCAACTTTGTACACATTTCAGTTTGCAGAATAGACGTCCCGAAAGGCAGCATGGGTAGAATAACCAGAAGTGTTTGCACRAGCCCACTTGGGTTCATGGCTCTATATGCTGTTTTCAATATTGGATCATCTGGGTTATTCTGATAGTCACCTTGGACACCAAAAGCCGTAGAAAGGATCGTATCGAGGGTCAAAGATTGCTGGCATCTTAAACAAAATGGACACAGCTTAATTTACATTTGCATTTACTACGAGATTCGACGTCATAGATCATACTTTAATATATCGATGCTTTCCCCGTCTTTAGCAGCTTTATCCAGCGTTTTCAACARAGAGTCACAAGTATCATTCATCAGRGGAATCATCGATTTGAGTTTATGGGAACTAAARGAAGGAGATAGWACAGTTCGGATACGATGCCATGTTTCTCCTTCAGCTACGTCCAGTGATGTGTCCATTGGCGGGGGGAGGCCTATTATCTGAAGTAAAAACATAGAGCTCCTTAACCAAGCGCCTATTTTTCCTCAATGAATAAGGTTTTTTCCCGTTCAAGCGAGCGACCGCTGTTTTAGTAGACAASAGACTCACTTGCGCAGAGATCTCACCAAAAAAGGAGCATGAAAAAATKTTGACAWTACACAGTAGCTCTAGAAATTTAGGTCTTCTCCGATTTGAGGCTTAGCCTGTATTCCCACAAGGCMTTTTGGGAATAYAGGCTTAGCCTGAAATCAAAGAGAATGCAAATTTGTAGGGCTAAAGGCCCTGTTTACATGAGATAGGGTGCCCTTACGTGGTAGGGCTAACTCTTTTGTTTTCTTTTCCCTGGAGGATTCAAAACAAAGGATTTTGGCCCTACCACTTGGTGCATCCTATCTCATTTAAACAGGATCTTAAATTGTAAGGAAGACATTTTTTGTTCTTTCTTTTGTTTTAGGTAATGTCTCTGCACATGAGAGACTGCTGTCAACTTAAACAGCAGTCTCTCGCTTTAACCGGGCGTATTAATTATAGCTAATTATGCATTTCCAGTTTAGTTAAAAGTGGATTTTACGCGTGGTCTTTCTTTGGCGGCATCCGTCTAGAATAGTAAAGATTAATATATAGTTTTAACTATAAAATCGTCAAGATGAAATCAAATTCGGCAAAGAAATGTATTTTTKAAGACAATGTGACGTTTCGGTTGTAAACACGTTGTGACGTCATACTGTGAGTATTGTTATGTTAATAAAAAGTAATTTGTGAAGGATTAAAATCTACACATGTATGTATGCACGTATCAAACGTTATAAATTAAGGTGAATTTGTAGCTAAAAATGAAATTTTAACGAAGAATGATGATAATAGCTAGCATTTTAACATGAATGATGATGATAGCTAGCGATAGACTTTTCAAGTCTATTTGAGGAGTATACGTACTATAAGAGTTCAAAGAACTGCGAAAGTTTGGACATAAAAATAACATAGCACTTGACATCAACTGTAAAACATATGGACTACATTTATGATGTGAATAATGATATGAAAAACTGTATGAAACTTACCGATGGACGGTTGTGGAAACTATCGAAGTGCTTCACCCAAATCTCTTTGATCATCTTCGTATCAGATATAGCAAGGACAGGCATATCGAGAAACGACGTGCAAAATAAACTGCCATATTTCTTGTAATTSGTATCAAGATAAAGGTGAAATTGGCCTTTATCTCGTAGAAATCCAGGCATATTTCCCAAGTAAGGCCATGGCTTAGGACCGGGTATTCCGGGGAAAGTTGATTCGAGCATTCGACGAKTCCTTGTACCGTACCAGTAAAGAAAGATGGCTACTGCTATAACCACTGCRATCGTCGTTGAACAGCAGTGGTTTGTAAGACAGTGAGCCCAAGAAGTTACTGACTCCATCGCTTACAACCTCTTTTAGATGGTGAAAGATTCACTAGCAGCTCTGATTCAACGAATTGTTATTTGTTTTGGTGTGCTGATCTTTATAGCGTCTCTAGATTACGTGACTATCGCCTAAAGTCACGCAATTCGTATATTTTACGTCACAAGGGCTGACGGTAAATTTGCAACGTGTATAGATTATGTCATGGATGTAAGAGGAAACACTTCTAACTTGTCAACAACAAAAGCAACCTCGTTTWGCCACAGAAACTKGTATAGTTTGTCTTCCTGAAGAGTTTKATATCGTTTACAATGCCAGCATTTACGAAAAAAACTACAGAGCTTTTGTCGATTCTGTTAGTTTTCAAAGCGTACCTACACTTGTGTGCATGGTACATGCAGGGAAGCACGTGTGTTGATAACAAAGCACTTTTACTTTGCTCCCATGTTTGTTTTTGTGCCTATCGCATAATGACGTCACGTCATGTTTGCAGGGGGGAATGCTCAGAAGTTCAGTGGAAATTGGAAGCCTTTCTATATCTTGTTTAATTTTGATAAAACAAAGTATCAAGTTCATGTACATTGTCTTGATATGAAGTAATACCGTTACCTTCTGGTGACCATAACCCYTAGTGCAAAACAAAATTATAGAATTTCACGCCAATGGCGCCCTAATGATGCGTGACATAACAGCTCTTTCATATTTATTAAGGTTGTCATCGACAATCCGCTAGACATTCGCTCGGTTGTGCAAGACCTTTTTTTAATATAGCTTTGTGCCTTCTTGAAGAATAGAATGAAATATGTTGAGAGGGGTAGGGCCGCCCTGCAACTTTCCGGCGAGTGTTTATGAACCTATCCGACAACCTATGAAAAACAACTTGGTTTTTGATGTAGTAAACCCCTAAAATAAAATGAAATTATCAAAATTGAACAGGACTGAATATTTGCATATTTATTTAATCGAATAATAAAATCAGATAAACTGATAGGAATATAGCTTATTTACAATTCATAAATTACAATTATCAAATCTTTCAATTCTCGGCCTTTGCGCTGCCACTTCAAAGAATATTAGATTCAGGACTTCGTGATACTGATTTCATTTTGTAACAATCTGAGATCATTCGACTTTTGAGCGTTGCCAGTATTTACCAGATTATTTCTGATTTGTTATTCTTCACTGAAATTTGCAATTTATACATATCTTTGCACCCCACCCCACCCCTAGAGCCGCGCTTCACAGGCTGTTGGTGCTTGTATTGTGAGCGAAATGCAGGCTTCGGTTGAGGATAATGAGTCACACCTAATCCTCGTTGAGCTTGAAGCCTTCAATGAACAAACTCGAACTGCGTCGAGCTTCTCTTTAATGTATTCAGATGTCGAGCTTTACATTACCAGGCTCAGTATGAGATGTCGATACACCAAGAGAGTTCTGATCGGCCTGCTGAGATTAATAATCAAATAATTAAAATAATAGAAAATATTTAGCTAATAGTGAAATTATTATAACTTTGAGAGGAGAGAAGAATTGCTGTAGTAAGAAATTTAGGCTTGCATTGTCCAGGGAAGTGCACATGACCGGGGATCAGTCCAAGCTTTCTTCTTCCCCTAACATCACCCTCAAGGACTAAGGTCATTTGAATAATGAATGATCAACGAAATTCTTGTCTTGACATCGATGTGATCCACCATTGCTGACCTAACTTTCTTTCTTATATGTATCAATCAGCCCGATTCAGGCAAACCATCCTCGGGAATCTAGGGCCTTGAGTTCCCGAGGATGCCTATTGAGTTATGATATCGATATATTATAACTTACCGGATGTCCAGTTTTAATGCCAACAGAGTTCGTAGTACATGCCGCTATATCATTGCCATCATTGTTTTTCAAGAAGATAATCTGAAACAAAGCATACCATACCACTTTATTTCACTTTTTCAATTTTTTCAGCCTTGAGCTAGCACTAGACAATATGATCTGCATAGCACAGCCGGTAATGCTAAATCGTTCTATAGAATGTTAATCGTCGCAGTGAAGATATAATAATCAAAGCGATTATTAACAAATGGATCATCCGAAAAAAGTCCGGGCTTCAAAGGGAATCGAACCCATGACGTCTGCAATGCCAGTGCAGTGCTCTATAGACTGAGCTATGAAGCGGTTATTTCAGTTCTAAATGCGGGCCAGTCAGCACCGATAAGAACGGGTCTCATGATAGGTTGACAATGGACAAACAATAGATAATTCTTTCTAACAATAAGACAAAACCTAACCTAACAACAGAGCTTCTGTACTGATAAGCAGCAATCAAAAAGCAGGTTTAGATCGGTGCTGCATTACTGCTTACAAATGCTTAGATCATTCGAAAAGGCAGCCACCTTGGAAAAAATCGCGCGCTTTAAAGGTTGTAAATTTGATGTAAATATGATGTAAGTGTCCAAAATTCTGTAAATTTGATGTAAATGATTCCCATTAAATTTACAGAATTTTGGACACTTACATCATATTTACATCAAATTTACAACCTTTAAAGCGCGCGATTTTTTCCAGTGCTTTGTTCGGTTTACATTAATACGTATCATTGTTACAGTAATGGATAATACCCACCTTAGGAATAAACACGATGCATAGCGTGAATGTCGTACAAAATATTGTCAAAAATGATACCAAGGCAAATGATGCTGTTCGATTGCTTTCCAGTACTGTTCTGATTGGAATGATAAGAACACACGGTACCACTACATTATACACAGACATCCCAATTAACTTGCTGTCATTCAAAGCTGGAATGTGCACTTTACGGGTTTCCCAAGCCAAATATGTGCCAAAAAGAAGTAAGAGTCCCTTATAGACGAACATAATAGCTTTCCATATTTCCAATCGGTTGCAGCCACAGTATCGGATGTATGGTAAGATTGCTGTGTCTCCAGATATCTGAAAGGATCGAAGAGGATTATTTGATGAAGCAACCAATCTCATGTTTTAAATGATAATGATAATGATAATGTTGATGATGATGATGATGATGATGATGATGATGACAACTTCCATTCCTACCCATCCCCTGTTCCATCTCTCGCATACGCAAGGCATCTTGAAATCATGGCGTATTGCTTTTCCTTTTATCCCGGATGCCTAACGCACGAGAGAGCTCGCCATCGAAGGTAAGACGGAAGGGCACCATGGAAAGGGAAGCCCGAGTACACTACCATATGCGGTAGCAGTGTTTAATTATGCCGGAGTATTCAAAATACCCTTGACGGTCTTGGCCTTCACATTTTTGAGCATGAACTCCTTACCTCCTGGGGCATATTTTGTGTACGCTCTACCAATGGATCGACCGCTTGCCACGTTATGAGCATTACCAAGTCAATCAGCAGAAACATCCCCACCATGCTAAATAGCTGTCTGTCACGTATAATAACCTGTTTAAAACACGTTTGACAAGACGGTTACGAGTGGACGTTCCTCAGCCGCTTACAATGAATTACTTCAACAATATGATATCCTTTTTCTGAATCTATCAATTATTCAATGATTAAAGATTCATCAATTTAATGCTAAGAGATCCACACAGCTTTTTCTAAATATTCAAAAATATTGTGACAATGTTTCAATTCATCATTGATGTATGTCATCAAAGAAATCATGAAAACCGTCACTATTGTCATGGAAACAGCGGCTATGTGACATCACAAACATCGTCATCTATCCGAAACATTTACATACGCTACGTATAGTTTTGGGTGTTTTACTGTATTATCATCTTCATCATAATCTCTTAGATTTAATAAAATGTTTATTTTCTAACTGGTAGTTATTATCGTTGCCATCTTCTTACYCTTTTTGACGTTTTATTGGAGTTTAAAAAGATCACGTGAACTCGCCAAGTCTTGCTAAAAAGAGCRCCAAATGCCAGCGTAAAACCAATRGTAACAATCCACACTTCACTCTGAAGAAAGTRAGAAGACAAGATGTAGTAGATAATGTGCAGAAATATCAAGCATGAAACCGAAAATGCATGTGCATTCATTCTTACGATTGCGATTACGAYGSAAGAGTTCAAAAAGTTACCTTGCAAACAATATGGTAGTGGTTTCCGTGGTAACCATTAATGATTCCGCCAATGTAGACCATGATGCAGCCAATCACGAGAAGATTGTTGAGGTTGGGAGACGACATCTTGATATATCTTTCCAAAACAAATATTGCATCATTAGAAGATAATTAAAGGACAGATTTAGTGCAACTAAATACAATGCAATGCTTTGGTCGCGACATCCTAGAGAAACAGACCAGTGCTACATGGCTCCAAGTGTTGTGCAATGTAATAACAAGGGAAAATTTATTATCTTTCAGCAAGAATGTCAATAAGCCCAGGATTAATTCCAGTTGCTGTAATCAGTATGAAGCGAATAGGAGATCGACTTTCTTGGATGAGAAACAATGCACAACAATCTTGTAACCATTCAGTATGAAGCTACTAGGAGCCAGATTACTACTCTTTTTGAAGGGAAGCAATTTCCAACAAGTCTTATAATTACCCATTATGTAAGTCATTATAATCACCCAGGCCAGGAATCGAACTCAGAACTCACGGCCTGGAATCCGACGTGCTGACTAATATGCTGTTGCTAAGCGAGACACAACAACACATTCTACTTTGAAATGTTCATGATCTCTTTGCAGCTCAAGTTAACTGTTTTGCCCTCCKGATGTAGGRCGCATCATTCCTATGCATTGCAAAAAGCCTGATCTATTATTCCYTWAATAGGTATCTAGTATTACCTGACTTCTTTGTTGCGTATGTTAAACGCTAAAAAGCTYAAAGCTATTAGGATTCCAATAATCGATAACGTTGCTATCGTCCAGAATAACCAAGGGCTGACGATCAGTTCCATAGTTGTCTCTGTCAGTCCATCCACTGGTACCCTTCCTCCTAAAATATCATACAATAATCTTATCTTAAGTTATAGAGCACAAAAGGTATTCAACGATTCTCATGCTCATGCGTGAGAAACACTTTTTTATAAATATTGCCTAGAATGACATGACATTGGGATGAAATTCTTTCGCAGTATATACATATATATGCACGATGG